AAACTTGCGCTGAAAACACTGTAGCGCCAGCATCAGTGGGAGATCTGCCTGTCCTTCGCACAGACCGTCCAGAGACCACACAAGATAAAGAACCGCTACCTTCAGCCGAAAATGCAAAGAAAAGGAAACGTCCAAATGAGCAGGAGGAGGACATAAACTATAGCCGCTGTAAGCTTCTCAAACTTGAATGTGCGAAAGTAGAAGAGGAGATCTTGAAAATAAAAAGTGAACGCAAAAAAATAGAACTTGAAAATGTTAAATTAAACCTAGAAATCATTAAATTACAAGAGGAGTTAAAGCCTCTTGGTTACTCCTTCAACATCGTTGAAATGTAGGTCATCATATCGACAGTTTCATTGCCAAGTTTGTTTAAGGCTAATGGTTAAAGTTTGTAGGCTAATGGTTGCGTCATTCTGTTATTACATTTAATAACTTGTTTGCAACACAGCGATATTTATGTTTATATATTTATTATTCTTCAATACAGTATAATTTGTATATTTATTGAATTTATTTGTAGTGTGTGCAGACACCATGAAATAATTTTGACAAGAATAAATATTTGACAAGATATATTTTACAAGAAGTCGGAGTTTTTACTTTAAAAAGAACATTTTTTCGGATGTGTCTTTGAATTCATCACAACTGAGAGATATTAGATTTGAAATACAGTTCACAAGTGAGACTAGGAATACAAATCTACAATGAATGGAATTTAAGTTTATTTAATTAAAAATGAAAAAATAGTAGTCTTTTTTTTATTCTAAACAATTTGTGTGTGAACTTATTGACAAATAATGATATGTTACATAAAAAGGTCAATTATGTGTTTTAGTGCAGTTTAAGTGAAATGATTCTGTGTGATGAAACGCCTGACAGTTACACCATCTTGCACTGGGTCTTGAAGTCTGTGCTCTTCCTGCGGGACCTCCTCAATCTCTTCACCTCCTAGATCATCAACTGGCATCTTCCACAGCATAGCCAAATTGTGCAATACAATGCATGCTCCTGTCACCTTTGCTGCTCTCTCTGGCTCCATTGCAATTCCTACCGAGGACATTTGGGGTGTATTCAAAACTTGCACTTTATCTGAAATATTAGCCTAAACTGATAAAAATAAACAATCAAACAAATTTAAATATGCTGCCATACCCCTGTGGAGACATGACCACCTCCTTTTTAAAACACCGATACTTCTTTCCACCGTTACCCGTGTTTTGGTATGTGCAGAATTGAATTTTTCCTCTGCTAGTGTGGAAGGGTTTAAGTATGGTGTCATCAGCCACTTTTTAAGTGGATAGGCAGAATCACCCAGCAGAATGCCACTATACTCCCCGGAATCAAACTTTTCAAAGATGTTTGATCTTCTTAGGATGAAGCTGTCGTGCTTTGAACCTGGCCATCTAGCAACGCAGTTTAAGAAACACAAACTTGGGTCACAGATGACTTGGGTGTTTAGTGAATGAAATCCCTTCCTATTCACAAAAGCATTCTCATCCACTGTTGGTGCTTTTATCCTGATTTGTGTCCCATCGACGCAGCCAAGTACATCAGGGAAACCGGCAATGGCATGGAATTTTTGCCTGTTTGTGTTTTGTACATTTATGCTTGGCATGCACACGTAGTTGTTCATGTGGCGACACAAGGCAAGTGACACCCTGCGGATCACTCTACATACTGTAGATTTATGAATTTGTATACAATCGCCGACTAAGTTTTGAAATGATCCAGTAGCAAAATAACGTAATGCGACGCAGACTTGAAGGCTTGGGGAGAGAGCGCCGTTTCGGTCCGTTTCATGTTGAATATCAGCCGCGATCATGTCCGTTATCCGCATTATTCCCTCTCTTTTAAAGCGCAAACGAGCAAATATGTCGACATCATCATAAATATCCAAAGGATGATGTCGGTCTCGTAAAACTCGTCGACGAATTTGCGGTTCTTCATTATCAATTACGAGCTCATCGATGTAATCTAATCTGGCTGCCATCTCATTCCGACCGTTATTCATGGGCTGAGCTGCCGTAAATATTTAGGTGGAACGTAGAGTTACGTTTAAACTAAGTTTAATGGTGCAACGGAAAAATATTTAGTAGTGCGTAAGTTGTAACTTAGTGCCCATTTACGTCAAAACTAGGCTAAGTTGTAACTTACGCACAGCTGGTGCAACCGGCCCCAGACGACTAAGGTCTCCCGTCAGAACCAAGATCCCTTCATGGGACTTAGCAATAGTCCCTGAGGGTCTGGTTGAGACCCCCTTTGAACCTCTAGAGTCAGCGTCTGACAAACTTCTGACCCTAAAGATGGTTTTTCTTATGGCTATAACCTCTCTAAAAAGAATTGGGGATATGCAGGCTCTGTCAATATCGCCATCCTGCTTAGACTTTGCCCCAGGAATGGTGAAAGTGATTTTGCATCCTCATCCTGATTACCTGCGCGTGGCCAAGCTTCGCCAACGGGTCTAAGGGCTCACTCCACCAGAGGGGTCGCCTCTTCTACTGCTTTGGCGAGGGGTGCCCCCTTACAGCATGTTTGTGGTGCGGCAGGCTGGTCCTCTCCGCACACATTCATAAGGTTTTATAGTTTAGATGTTCATGCCACTCCGGGCTCTCATGTCCTTGAGTCGATATCACAAGCTAATGTCTAGGGCTTTCTTGCGTTCTTGTGAGCACACCTACACAACCGTAAGGAGTTCAGACACCTTCAAGCACGGCGGCGTGGGTATTCTCGTTCCCAATGCGCTAAGCAGCGCAGCATCGATTGTAGCTTTTGAAAGGGAACGTATCCGGTTACTTGACTGTAACCCTGTTCCCTGAAAAAGCGGAACAAGATGCTGCGCTGCATTGCCGTGCTGATGATGTCCCAGGACAGCTCTTCAGACAAAATATCCTGATGATGCACCTGCGGCTCATCTATTTATAGCCTCGCGGGTGCGCGCGGGTCTTAGAGACATGCCACGTATCGAAATAATGCTGGATCTCAGGTCGTTGCTCCCTCAGATACTTTTGTATCGAAGGATGCCGATCTGTGACGATTGCACCAACCCTTAACCCTGCTGATTCCAGGAACTGGAGGCTTCTCAAAAAAAACTTTGCGTTCCATGTGTGGACTTGCACCCACTTCATTACTCTGAGAGATGAGAAAAAAAACCTCAATTTAGCAGACAAAAGACACGTTTTGAGATGTAAAAACAAAACAAAAAAACATTTACACTTTTATCCAGACAGTTAATAGATACCATATAAACCAAGACAATGAGTATGTTTACATGCACAATAATTTTAAGTTTTGATAGTTATCAAAGTGTTGCTGTGTTTGTATACACAGTCATTGTGAGAAAGCCATACACAACAATGCCATTATAGATTATTGCAGTGCCATAGTAAATTGCATTTTTACCTGGATTAATTGAATGTCCACCACCTTGTTGTCTTGCAGGTTCATCATCGTGTAGCTTCCATACTTGGCACAGTGTCCTTCAGGGGGAATCAGAGTAGAACAGAAAAAAGTTGAGGACGTTACTGGTATATTGACCATATTTTTCACATTGAACAACATTTTAATCCAATGTCTCTACAGTGTATTGCAAAATGCAACATTCTTCAATGCTTCAGACATCTCATAATGCTTATACTGTGGTTGGAATGACCAGATGAAAGTGAATGTTGTTATTTTTCACTCAAAATGAACAAACCTGGGGAATCAGCTCTCATGTCACCACCCAAGACAACGACCTTTCCAGAATGCCTTGCCATCTCCAGCATTGTGTTTTGTTCAGTCCTCCAGTGCCATAAAATTGTTGGCTGGAGAAAGTTCTTTTGACGATTAAAAAATGTCCTGGGACATATACATTCCAGACAGAGTGCTGACAGTACCTGGAAGATATCAAATTACATAAGTCTAAAAATTGTTTAACAATGACCAATTTATACAATTTACTTTTTTTACACAAATAAAACCTTTGTGATCTGTATGAATGAAGCCCCACTGAATGCTACTGCTGCCGACAAATGCAAATTCCCAGCTGGTGTACTCTGGATGTGTGGCTGGCTGTTCCAGTTTGTTTTTTGGAGGCAGTGTGAACAGATCTATGTGATTTTGAAGCAATAAAATGTATATGAACAACATCCAATATGCCAATAATACAATAAATAAAATTATGTTTGTAACAATTTGTCAATGCTACATTTATGATCACCTGCGTGATGGATACAAATGTCCCATTTACAAATTTCTCAACTGTGCAGGTATGGCAGCATGCTTGACACTTCCGAAACAGCTGTAGAAAATTGTCTTCATACACCATGTATTTCCGGGCTTTGTATGGTGGTTGGCAAACCCTGGACAATCATAACTCAGCAAATCATATCATACTTTCTAACAAGGCATCTTGATTGATCATGATATACCAGTGATAACCACATTTAGACTTACTTTTCAATGCTCTCTTGAGTGACATCAGGCTCATAGGTGACATCTGAACACTGATTTGAGGTGTATGTTGAGCTCTCATCGAACACAGTGTCTTCCATGTGTGGCCTTTTAATTGGTGTTGAAGTGAGACACGGCGCTCCAATACCTGTACCAACACTCACACCAACAGAGTGGCCTAAAGGCTTCACCTGAACAGCTAAAATTTTCAACACACACATATGACAATCAAACGCATGAAACAACACAAGAAGACTATTTAATTACCAGATAATAAATGAAGATAAACATAGCTAGTAGCCTATAACTTTACTCCGTTTTTTCTGCTTGTGGGTTTCCGTTTGAACTGACATATTTTTCAAAGATGGTGCATGACATTGACAGGCCAAAAAATGCTCCTCCTCGCCATCTCTCCTTTCACACGCTCTTGTTACGGGCTGTATAACAGGAATTGCATTATGTTATGATATGGGTACAAGGGCAAAATAGATTGTGCAGGACTGCCAACTTTTGAGTTCAATTTGGAGTTAGAATTACGATTAATTCGTAAGCTTAAAGGGTTAGTTCGCCCATTTAAGACATGAAGTTGTATGCAATCCTTACCAGCACTATAGTGTATACACACTGACCCACTCTGTTGTCACCCCCTGTTCCGAGTTCTGACCGCTTGAAGTTTTTGAATGAAGTACTCCCGGCTACTTTCCGGGGCCACAAAACTGTGCGTTTTTACGTGAGAAAAAGATTTGCGTTTCAAAGCTTGATTAATTTAACACACAAAAAACACCCCGGGCAAAATTCATACCTCAGTTTTAATGCGGCACTATTTTCCTTCCGTTTCTATCAATCCGCGCTGCTGTCAATGTCAACAGTGCGCACGTGACGATTAGCTGTTGATAGCGCGACTCGCTGTCAACATGTCCGACTACGAAACTTCAGATGATGAAACTAATTTTAGCACAGTGTCAGACGGATCAGATGAAGACAGTAATTTTAACTCAACGACAAAGGGATATCTTTATGAACCGGAGTATACCGATGCCGAACTTGAGCAGATGGACAAAGAACGGGAAGAGAGTGAGCGAGAGGACAGAGAAGTTGTCCAATCTGATGCTGGGCCCACCACAGCTGTAGCAAGAGGCAGGATGAATGACAAATGGTGGTGCACTTGTTCCAATTGTGAAGTTATGCCAACAGAGGTTGAAAGCTATTGCTGCCACGAATGGGAACTCATCATGCCACAGATGCAAAACCTTTCAATTGACGAGGAGGCCAACGCACCGTCTGTCTGCATTACATCCAATGACGTGTTCCCTGCGATGCTAAATGCAGGTGTCCTGGAGACGTTCTTCTACATCCCTAAAATAAATTGGAAAAAGCGACCCAAACCAGCTGGACTTGACGGTCAGATGTCGGCAGAGTAAGTGTGATCGCTCATCTTGCTTTGTAGTTTTTTATTTATTAATTTAACGTTGTCTTGACTAGTGTTGGTTATATAATAGTCTATCTGACTGCATTATTATTATACTGAGTGGACAATAATACAATCATTAATAAATTAATAATTATATGGAGTTGACACCAAATGTACCTAACTTACATCAAACTTTGAAATACTGTCTTTATAACCAAATGTATCTGCCAATTCATTTCACAATTGGTGCTCAGTGTTTGATGGATACTACAGTTATTGCAATTATCTATAGGCTATGTATTTCATTCTTACCTCCAGTTTTTTTCCCAACAAATCTTCAGCAATCATTATGTTGATTCTTTATAAAGCTCTCCTTGCTGTTGTCCATATTTGAGAAAAAAAAAATATATAAATCAAGAAAACTGTTATCTAATTTTCATAAAATATGTAACAGCTAATATTGTGTTTGTTTGCTCTTCTAGACAGTACAGACTTGTTGCCTATCGCATGGTGACAGAATGGGCCCTGAAAGGAGAGAAGCTCGGCAAAGGCTACAGACGTGTTCTTCCCTCTTGTGTGGTGAACCTCATAAGAACAAAATATCCATCACCAAATGGACAATATCAAGGGTTCAAGGAATCAGAAGAAGCACACCTTTTGTTTTAGATGTGTTAAAGAAAAATGATTTATTGAACATTGTAATTTTTAATAATACTTTTTCACATATGTACATATGTACAGAATAAACACTGTGAATGTTTAAATACTGTCATCCCTGTTGTTAAGTTATTTTCTGAGGCGGGATGTATGTTGTGCCACCAAGTCATCTTTGATTGGCTTTGGAGTGGCTGCAATATTGGCCGGCAGGTTGGATGGAGGATGTATCTGGAAAACCTTGTCTCCAAGTGTGACATTTTTGTCCAGCCGCCGTAACATTACCTGCTGCACCAAGTCTTTCCTGAAGTCTTGTTTTGTTGGCTCATATAGTTTCCTTACAACCCACTGATTGGATTGCCTTGAATAGAAGACGTTGTATTTGTCTTTTCCTGTAAATTAAAAGAAGAAATTGATCACAAAAACAGTATTTCCAAAATAAATAAATTTGCCAACAGCACAGCCAAAACAGTGTAATGTTTGAAAGACATGATTATCCACTATAATGCTTCCAAGTAATAATGCCCGGTGTTTGGAAAGAGTAAAGTAATACTTTTTTTTTTCTTTTGTGAACTCAAAACGTCTACAGGTCAAGCCAAGTGATAGCATGGCATGACAGGGTAGTTTATGCATTTTTCAAATATACATAGATGATCAATGTTTTGAAACTAGCAATACATATATTATAACTTCAGTATAGGCCGTTATTACAGTACATATAGTAATTTCATTCAAGAGCGGAATGTTGTTGAATAGCAACTATCTGTGTTAGTACAGTTTGAATAGTAATAGTTAGTACATGTTGCAAAATAGTAATATTTGGAATATAAATCTCAAGTAACATATGGAGGTCAGGATTTTTCTAAAAATATGTAAAGTTGTGATCAGTGGTAATGGCGATGATGTGCTGTATCTGCCATACTCACCCAACTTAGTGCTGTCATGCTTACGGCCAACATTGTGGTTGTGATCCAAGATACTCAGTTGGATCCTGGCCTGCATGGTGACATTTGAGTAGTGCCGTCTCTTCTCTGCATACTTGAGCATAGAGCTATGAAAAACCTCAAGCTTCCCTAATGTAGAAAAAAGATTTTATAATACATTTTCTACTTCACATATCCAAGACATGACATTTTATGTCTTAAAAATTAATTTCTAATGCTATGAGAGAAAATGTATATAATTGCCTTATTAGAACACTTGCAAATGCATATTTATTTTAGCAAAGGACAGATGCAACAACATATACGTATTTTCCTTCAAATGGGGCGCTGATTTACAGTCAATAGTCAAATAGCTGCAATACACAAGTATGTAATGTAGGGACACACCTGATCAACTAAGGACTACTCATAGTAGTAGTGTAACGTAGCTGTGTGTTTGAACAGTGTCAACTGATTGAGGTCTTTCAATAGGTATTTGTCAAGTACAACAGCCTTGAGAGCGTTGTAGGCACTACAATCTTTTGCCAGCCATTTTTTTCTCCTTTGCTGCTCCTCAGAAAGGTCTTCATGGTAGCACTGGTACTCCTGGCCATCATCTTCCCAGCGGTGAATGCCACACACATGATGCAAGATAGAGGTCCACCGGCGTCTCAATTCCTATTGTTTTTGTTTGTTAACACGAAACACTGTTTAGCAAATTACACAAGGCGCTAAAAATCCAATGATGAACACCAACTAATAGATTACTATAACATTTGTTGGCAAGTGGCAGTTGTGATATAAAAATCTTGAAAAGAATAAGAGATTAAAAAAAAGTTATTTTATTTTATAATGCAATTGTTTGTTTTTCGAGTTGAATAAGTTAATTCTCAATCGGAAAATCGGTTAAAAAATAAACTAAACTCCACCTTTTCATCTCCACCACAAGAGCTGCACGACCACCAGAAGTGATTTCCCAGAGACTTGACCCACGGCTGCAAGTCCCGGTTTTCTTTTTTCTTTGCTGCTGCACTTGCCTTCTTCTTCATGCCTACATTTTTTTAATACAAAAAGGTGAAAAAAAAAATATGCACAAGTTACCCAACTGCTTCCTTCAATTTATATATGCAAAACGCACCCAATAGTGTAACTAGCGAATAAAACACATATGCTGCAACAAATACTAATACCTTTTGCAACATGCCATGGATCAAATTCATGTCTGAGGGTAGGGTAGAACTCTCTCATGATCTTCCGTATTGAAGGATGTCGGTCAGTGGTAACAACATCAACACTAACTCCAGAGTCCAGTAGACAATCCAGTCCCCTCCGAAAACCAACAGCCTCCATCGCGGGTGAACTTGAAGCCTCTGATACCTTTGTTGAAAATACAGGCATAAGAGAAAGACATGTGCAGAAAAGGAACACAAAATCATAAAACAATGACACTATAAAAGAGGACAAATTACATCAGTTTAAAATATAATTTATTTTACCTGGATTAGATCAGATATTATGATCTTTTTTGTTGAGTCATCCATAAAGCTGTAGGTAGTGTACTTAGCACTGTAGCCTGGAGAATCAGATCTGGAATATTAAAAAAGGGAAGTGCTTTGTAAGATGCTTGAAAATTATGTAATTGTAATAACATAAGTCTACAATTTCAGTCATACAATACCCAAAACATACAATGTACCTTGCATCGCCTCCAATGTCTGTGTGTCCACCTGCACATGCAGTGTCCTGAAGCTCTGACAAAATTGACTCTTGCATGTCAGTGTACGCCTGATGAACCACAGGTATCAGATAAGTAGATTGGATTGAATAGTATGACGTCTTCTTTGGCAGTTGTAAATTGATGAGATCAGCCCACTCTTGAATTTCTGTCTGTGTTGTTCCGGTAAAAAGAATGGCTGCTGAAGATACCAGGTTATTCTCTGGCATTCCACGGATCTCAGGACAAGATCGCCACACTCCCTTATGTTGATTCAGGCATGTCCATTCCACCTTGATCATGGATCCATTACTCACTGTGGTTTTCTCATCTATGGCTACACCGCAAGTGTGACAAGTTGTAAAAAGTTCCATAAGGGCTGACTCGTTCACAATCCACTTCCTCTCTGACCAGTTGCCTTGCTGGTCTGCTGTCACACTCACATCTGAGGAAGATGATGTAGAGCCACTCAGTGGAAGAAATGTGCTGTCATCAGCTGCTTCTATGGAAGTCAAACTTGTATCCAGTGTCTCAGATGCAACCGCAGAGCTTGGGCACATTGACTTTGAATAAAGAAAAACATATAGTCAAATAGAAGTGTTTGTGTTGACTTACTGAATGTTGGTCACAAACATGGCTGATAGGTGCATGCAACATGTTTATTTTAAATAATGTGTTCTTTGTGGATGTGTACTTTGTCAAGATTATGACAAAAATTGTCAAAAAGAAGGAAATGTGTGCTTACCCGTGACCCTTTCCAAGTGGGGGGTAGGGCTGTATAAGTGCCAGAGGTTGATGGCCTTGTTCCTCGAATTGCTTCAGCAGGGCTTGTGATAATCAAGGTCAAGTTTTTTTTTCCATCAGAACACTTCAGAGGTGTTGACTGTGGAAGTCCAGAAAACACTTCATAATCGGGGTCACCACTGCTAGCCTCTGTCAGTGCTGTTTCTTCCGTACTGGGTGCAGGCATGCATACCTTGTTAGACAAGATCAAATCAAATGTTATTTATTTGCAACGGCTTTATGCACAGCTGCTCTACTTCCAGAACTTCAACCAGCTCCTTGTTTCCTATTAGCCATTATAGGACAAATTGATTAATTCAGGTATACTTGACCTCAGTAGTCATGGAAACAATAATCAGATACACCTGAATTAATCAAGTTTGCACAATAATGACAGACAGGAAACAAGGAGCTGGTTGAAGTTCTGGAAGTAGTGCAGCTGTGCATAAAGCCAATTGTGTGTGTTCAATCAAATATTTTTCACAGCAAATTGTAACTATATATATATTTTTTTTTTACACATCTTTTCACGTGTTTTATAATGGAGTCTAAACATCATCTTGTTTACCGTACAGTTTAGACATGGGATCATAAAGTTAGTAAATAGAGCTTACCCGTGGTACTGGTACAGCAAAACTCTTTAAAATCTTTTTTTTTCCTTTTCCTCCTTGGTTGGAGATGTAATCGTCTTCGCTGAAGTGAGCACTACACACACGAAAATCCTTTATTCGAGATAATTTAGCTCCCGCTGAGTAGCCGATGGCAACCAGCCAAAGCTGTCTCATATTCATATTTGATACAGGAAAACGATGAAATTTGAACTTTGATCCCGGCACATCCTTGTTGTCACAGCCTGGGAATTTACAAGTTCGCACCATTGTTAATTTAATATTTTTTACCTTGTTGTCGATCGATTGTGTAAACACTATGGAAGAGCTGATCGTCACGTGCGCACTGTTGACATTGACAGCAGCGCGGATTGATAGAAACGGAAGGAAAATAGTGCCGCATTAAAACTGAGGTATGAATTTTGCCCGGGGTGTTTTTTGTGTGTTAAATTAATCAAGCTTTGAAACGCAAATCTTTTTTTCACGTAAAAACGCACAGTTTTGTGACCCCGGAAAGTAGCCGGGATTACTTCATTCAAAAACTTCAAGCGGTCAGAACTCGGACCAGGGGGGTGACAACAGAGTGGGTCAGTGTGTATACACTATAGTGCTGGTAAGGATTGCATACAACTTCATGTCTTAAATGGGCGAACTAACCCTTTAAGATTCTGATCTTGATTCAAAATCGATTCATTTGAATATACAATACAATTTTTAATGTTGTAAACTATACAGGGGAACCTGTCAGTTGGTATCAAAATTGACAACTTGTATACAATTATATGTCGATTTTTAAAAGAATTTAGCAATTGCATGAGACATGATTAATTTCAATAAGTTGTTCTATATTTTTCAACAAAAGTTAACCTTTGTAAAGAGTAAGAGATGACAGTTATGTTGAATCTATCTTGATTCAAGTGGTGATGTTGGTTTTTGGCGCGCACGCTCCAAAACGCGCACTAAACATTAATTTACTTTATTAAGCATAATATGACAATGTATGATGTTCAACGTCTCAAGAGCTTGGTTGTAGCTAGTTCAACTTACCGTCAAACTTTGTGAGGTACCAACGGTGTACACTGACGGGACCGCGATATCTGTTAATGACAGATATCTCACAAACCCCATTTCGTGTTCTGTCCAATCTTTGAAGCATTCACGCGTGAAGTGCTTCGAGCACATCTGTGACCTCTCTGTTATCCCTCCTTCCTCGAAATGTAAAAAATCGAGCCATCTGGACCGTAACGAGGGAATTTTAGGGAATGGGAAAAGTGTTCCGTGAGTGCAACCAAAAATGCTCCTCGCCATCTCTCCTTCACACGCTGTCAATCAATGCTCGCTCGGCGCTCGCAAACACACAGCAGCCTGTCTACTGTCAGTTGGAGGGGCGTGGTTACGGATGTTAAGCAGACACCCACACTGTCAAGCCTACGTCATCGGGGAAGGTCCTCCAATGCAGAGGGGAGGGGGATTTTCAGATTTTGGTAACACTTTATAATAACTGCATGCTATTAATCATTTGTTAAGCATGAGTAAACAGTTAATTCATCATTTATAAAGCATTAATAGACATTAATAAGCAGTTTATAAATACAGCTATAAACACTTTTTTTCTTGATTTATAAGCATATCTATAATGCATTTAATAATTGTATTTTCATACTTTGTTAAAGGGGTCATGTAATGGTACATGCACTTTTACAAGTTGATTGTACTGAAATGTGTGTTGGCAGTGCCTGTACACAAACATCATATAATGATAAAAATCCATCCAGTGGTTTTGTTTTAATCTCCTTATATGTTTTCCCCTGCCTCAAATCGAGCCGTTCGTTTTTGTGACGTCAATAAAACGGACGCCCCTCCCGCGATTGTTGATTGACAGCAGTGATTCAACACAGACCCGCCC